AAGCTTCCCTTAACTTAGAGTACCTCTAGAAGAGCAAAATACCAGCCACCAGATGGTAAAGGACACACCTTCTAGGAAAGTTATTTTTATCTCCCACAGTCATCCTCTCTTTATGTTACCACAGTTATCACCAAGCCCTTCATACCTGATTTTTTTTCCTTACGTATTTATCATATTCGCTAGGGTTCCCCTCACCTTCATCCTTAAAACAAAAATCCTGCAGCTTCCTTGTGCACTACCATAAAAGGATATGCCATTCAGATAATAGTTCTCCAAAATAATAGACTACCAACATTCCTATATTCCTCAACTAGCACCATTCAGTGGCTGTTACAGGCATTGGGCTCCAATTTCCTGAACTGATCCAGTAGTAGCCAGGGAGCTCTTTTAACTTGTCTCTCTTCTTGATTAGCCATCTATTTCCAAAGTAGTATGTCCTATTTCAAAACTTAAGTATCTCCAATCGCGGGTCATTTTTGAGAGTTGTACTGTATCTGTGTTTACCATTAATGATGTTGACTATGCAAAGTTATTCTACAGGGTATTGCTTCACATGTCTCTCATTTCTACATCTCTCCTTGCTCTGCTTTTTGGGCTTCACTCGATTTAAAAAAAGATTGGGACGAGTTGTATTTAACTTGGAAAACAGATCACTGTTCTAGAAAGTCTGCCAACCTGCACTCTTAGACTTAGCCCAGAATCCTGGAGGAGATTTCCCTGCTTTTCTTGCTGATAGTCTAAACGATCAAACATAAAACATATGGACAATGACTAGAAAAACTTTTTTTTTTCCTTTTGTTTTTAAAAAGCCATAACTCAAGGATGGGAAATTCAGGGCAGCTGAAAAGAATTTTTTTTTCATATAATGCATAACTCTCTAATAATGTCATTCAGCTTTCCAGCTGGACAGTTTTAAAAGGGAATTAAGAAATGCATAAATGTTAAGGTTATATACTGTATTATACCAATAGCACTTAATGAGGACACCAGGCAAAGAAGAAGGAAATGAAAGGAAAAATGGAATAAAAACAATCCCAGAGTTACCAGTGACATGTTTAAAATGATTTTACCAACTGGGGAAGTCCATTAATTGATGACTGGTTTAAAGTCCATCCACAACAATGTGTGAACCACTTCTTATTCAAGAAGGATGATGGGAATATGGCTTTTAGCCAAGCTAAGACCATTTTTACAGACCTCATGTGAGGTGAAATATCCATTTTCTTTGCAAAGTGTTTTCTTGCTACATTAGGAAGATGTCTTACCTTCAATATCTTACCTTATATCTCTTAGTACCACATGTTGGGAATACAATTGGGACTATGCAAATTGGCATTGATCTTGCTGGTGGGCTGTAGAAAGGCTTGTGCAAATAAAATGCTGAACTAGGTTGGCTTTTGGCTTTGTTCAGAGTTTGTTGTTTTCTGATAGTACTTTGGTTATATTACTACAAAAATGTGTGGGATTTGGGGGTTTCTTTTTTTTTTTTGTATCTATGTCTATAGTTATAGCCCAGAATGTAGTCCTTTTCTTGGAATTAAATGCTCCTAGCTCCTATAGTTTCGTTGTATATTTGAGCAAGTAACTTATTTATCTTTATGCTCTAGAAGTAAATCAAAGAAAGTAAATCATCTAATACAAGAACAGATAATTACATCTTCATAGAAATACCATACTAAGTCTAATTTGTAAAGTAATAAGGTGTCCTGGTGACTTTGACTTAACTTTGAAGATTAAATTACACAGACAAATAAATAATATCAGATTTTTGTTTAACAAGTCACAGGAGGATTCAAGGACAAAACAAATATTCAGATAATACAAACCCCTTTCAAATTTCTGCTTTCTAAAAGCATGATTGGTGACAAAATGTGNACCTTGAGTTGGCCACACCCACCCAGTCACATGACCACCAAGCCCCACCTACCCAGATGGTCATTAAGGCAGAGAACCGGTTGTTAAATTATTTGAACCCCACCACTGCTACCTTAGCTTACTGTTGTCCTTATTCCTAATAGAGGTGTGTGTGTATGTGAGAGAGGTGGTGGGAGATGGAGGGAGGGAGGGAGGGAGGGAGGGAGAGAGAGAGAGAGAGAGAGAGAGAGAGAGAACTCTTTAGCAAAAAACTAAGCAATATCCATCTACTCTGGAGGCCAGAAGAATTCTGGTAAATGAAAATGTTATTAGAATTTGGTATTTTCTTTGTGCTGTGCTAATTTCCCATTTAGAAATGCATAGAAAGCAGTAAGGCAAGGAACCAAAACAAGTATATCTGGGAAGTACAGAGATGCCTACAAGCACCGGACTGTTTAATTCTAGATTACAAATCAGAACTGCAACAAGGACCTCAGGAAGGGGCACTTTCTTTGTAGAGAATTACAGGGCAATTACATATCCTTCTCTAATCTCCTGAGTTACTGCCTATTGATGTTGCATTATATTTGGGTAAAGTATGAATAGATTCTCTTCCAAAAGGTAACTTCTTACTTCCTACACATTCATTCCTTGGCAGGCCCAAAATGGAGAGAGAAAGAGCTGTTAAAAAGTTTCTTATCTAAATAACTCCCTCTGATGGGGAAAGTGAGTGCTCCAGTAGATTGTTCACCCATAAATATTGAAACCCATAAAGGGCAGGCTGTAATCCAAGAATGGGCTTTAGCTTAAAGTACTAGCGCTTTCTGTGCTTTGCAGGTAAACCTTGTGGAAAAGAATTGGCATTAAAAAGCAACTTTCTATTGTGGCTACTTATGTAGAAGTGAAGGGCAATTAATTAAAAATGTGTCATGTACAGAAATAACTGGAAGTAGGAGAAACAGCAATGCTTCCTCTAAAGCCTGTCACAGGGAAGAGAGTATAGATGTACTGTATTCTCCATAAATTCCGAGGATAGGACAGAACCAGTAGGTGGAAGCCATACAGAGAGAAATTCAAACTTGAAATGAGGAGGAATGTCCTGACCTTCAGAGCTATTAAGCTGTAGAACAGCTTGCTTCCTGGTGTTGTGTAGTATGTTTCACCATGAGAGGTTTTCACACCAAAGTTGGGCAACCATGTGTCTGGGATAGCTCTGGGCAGGTGGAAGATCTCTAAGCTGAGTGATAACATAAGAGAGACACTATGCTTAACATTATATTTATTTATTTGATTAGTATAGCTACCCATCTCAGCCAAGTGACTCAACCAAGGGAATACAGATTTTTAGAGAAGGGGTGGATTGTGGGTGATAGCAGAGGTGGTATTCAACAGGTTCTGACCAGTTGTGGGGAATCGGTAGCAGAAATTTTGAGTAGTTCGGAGAACTGGTAAATACCGCCTTTGACTGGCCCCACCCACATCTATTCTCTGCCTCCGGAGTCCCAGCTGATCGGGAGGAAATGGAGATTTTGCTGTATCCTTCTCCGGGAGTGGGGAGGGAATGGAGATTTTATAGTATCCTTTCCCTTGCCACGCCCACCAATCCACGCCCACTAATCCAATCCAATCCAAGCCATGCCCATAGAACCGGTAGTAAAAAATTTTGAATCCCACCACTGGGTGACAACATTTTCTAGTGATAAGCCAGATTCTTGAAAAATGTGTCAGAATATTTTCTACAGGCAAATGCTGATCCAATTATTAGTAGGACTGTAATGTGTCAGCATTGCAGACAATGAAAGACAAGGCAATGAAAGACTTAAAAAAAGGAACAGTTGCTGAGCTTATTGTGAATTATTTTCACTAATTATCCACCAGTCAGGGTTTATAAAATTGCTCACACAGGAGATAGTTTGCTGAATGCTATCCATAACAGGTGTGGATAATCCCAAACTATGACAACTATTATTTAAAATATTGGAAATGCTTGGGTATTAAAAAATACCAGAAATGAATATTGGTCTACATTACTCTTCTCCAACACTAATCATTGACCAAAATTTAAAATGGCCAGGAAGATAGCTAATTATGGCTTCTCATGATCTTTAGTCTTGAGCCCCTAGCTCATAGCCGGAGTAATCCTTGTCATGTCATCCCATCTGTAGAAGTGGATTGACTCCTATTTGCAAAGGAAGGGTTGGCAAAATGGGAGGTCTTGGAGTTACATTGTTGGTTAAATGACATGAGGGCTTAGTTTACTCCCTGCATGGGATTGTAGCCATATCTAACAATATCCACAGGAAAATCTCCCCACAGCCAAAGACTTGATTGTTGTTAGATGAAGGCTTAAGAAAGCTAGAAATTAAGTGGAGATGAAACAGATGGCATTCAATTACCTTTGTAGCAGTGGTGAAATTCAATTTTTTTACTACCGGTTCTGTGGGCATGGCTTGGNTATTTGATATTATGGATTTTCAGTCCATAAAACCATATGTATGCCTTAATAAATATGTTTGTCTTTATTGTGTTACAAGTTTATTTATTAATACTTCACGTGATCTTGATTCTATCCCTCTGTTTATGCAGTGTAGAACTGTGTTGGCTTTTTTGGCAGCTGCAGCACACTGCTGGCTCATATTTAAATGGTTGTCCACTAGGACTCCAAGATCCCTCTCACAGTTACTACTTGTTATTTAAATAGTTATTTAACCTATTAAAGTCCAAGCAATCCAATACTTGCCTTCTCCCAGAGAAAGGAGAGCCCCTTTTATTTGAAGCTGCATTGAAAGTGGCAAAAACTTACAAATTAGTGGCAAACATTTCATAACGTTTGCCACATTAATCATAAGTTAATGCTAGAAAATGTTACTGAAGGGGATCAGCTTAATTTATCTGCAGCATCATCTTTGCAGATTTGTTCAAGAAAGTCTCATTGGCTCCAATGGAACTGAGGGCCATTTTTTTTCTTAGCACCTGCCAAGAATGCATGGATGGAGAGAGAAAAAGGGTTACATATCTTAGACCTGCTCTAATGTCATCACCTCTTTAGGCTGCACTTTTACTGATTACCAATCAGTAAATGTTTATCTTGTCTCTTCTTACAGTTGAAGCAGGATTAGATGATTAAAAAGTGAGATCATACTTACTTGCTTTCCTAGGCTCATCGGGAGAAAGCACAACTCGTTTCACTTTCACCACTTTCCATTCTTGACTTTGATCGTCCTTGTTGTTAATCCCAGAATCCATCCCATCAGAAACAGGCCACGGAGAGTCTCCTTTCTCTTTGGACACTGGCCTGTTGTCACTGCTTTTGTGAGGGAGGACATTCCCATTGGCTCTCCAAGGTTCCTTCTGGAGATTTTCTCTGGCTGACTCTTTCCTTTCCTGCTCTCCATGGCTACTATCATTTCCCGTTCCTTGCAGCCTTGCCAAATAGCTTTTGCCTCCTGCAGGGTCACTCTTGGAGTTCTTAATAATGTGAGGATTTGGGTCAACTCTGCTGGGGCCTGCACGGTTGGATTGAGGTTGGAGACAAGGTGGTCGTAGAGTTGTTTTTAGCATTTTGTCTCTTATTGGATAATATTCAGTGCTTGGCAGAGCTATTCTTCATCAGAAGAAGTTCTCTTTCAACTCTTCTTGGCTATTGCCTGGGAAGGCAGAAAAGCAAATTATATCCTTCATTCCAATAAGCCTTTCACAAGCCTGACCACAAAGCATTTCTTAAATGCAGGAACAGGGTAAGATGGTATCAAGAACACATGATGCATTTCTTCTTTTAAAAGGGAGTTGTGGAATTAAAGTGATGGAAAACAGACTTATTTCTCTCTCCTTCCTTTGCAGCATTTAAACTGCAAAGTAACAAAGGAGAGATTCTGATAGAACTTTCCTTGTCATGTTTAGGTACAAGATAGTTTCCAAATAAATAGATTTTATAAGAAACAAAGTGTATTTAATACTGTTTAATACACACCCACATACTCACTCCTGCCTTATTAACAACAAAAGATGTGTCTACATTATTTTACATAGTTATTTGATTTATGAATTTAAAGTAATATCTTAATATATGAGCAGGTGATTTTGCATTAAGGAAATTTTTGCTGATTTTTCTTTTTCACATCCATTCCGACCCCCATAGCCCTAAAGAACAATAGGGCTTAAATGAAGCATGGTTGATTGCTCACAATGAAACTAAACCCTAACTAAAATAATCTCAATCCATTCAGATGGTTGAAATCAGTATCAACTTTTTAGTAGCAGAAATCACCCATAGTTCTATTTGCGAGTTATGAAATTTGTATATCCTTCACTGTGTTGCAGTGTTTTCCATCTTCCAGATGGAAGCTATTTCAGTAAAGCTAAAGCATGACTAATTTAGTCTCAATCTAAGCCATTACATATTTACAAATATAAATGTACACACACATTCATTCCGCAATAGAAAAGAAAGGATTTGAAGATTTGATATCTCAAATTTGTCATCGTTGTAGAAGCTTAGAATATTATTGTCTAAAGTTTCTATAATCGGCTAGGTTAGCATTTTCTCAGTGGTAGCATTTAACTTGTTACATTCCAACTACTTCAAGATTTAGTGTAGAAGAACAGCAACGTAAGAATGGACTGCATATATGACTTGTTAATTTTTCCACTGGGGACAGAGGTGAGGGAGAAGCAATGTCTATCCATAAGACTGAAGCAGTATGGATTATATTCTGTCTATGGTATTTTGCTGAATGGGACAGGAAATACTCTGGACCTTTTATTGTATTCACTAAAAGACAAAAGTGAAGAACATTCAGATGGTCATGTTAAGGTTATGTTTTAACTAAAGCCTCCTCACTCTTTTGCAAAATAGCTGAACTATATATGTAGTAAGAACTTTGTAGACTTGCATGCACATGTCAAGTTTATGTAGAATGATATCACCTTTCGAATAAGTATGGCACCAAACTAGATCATGTGGGAGTTATCAGGTTCCTTGAGATCAGTGTTTCTCAACCTTGGCAACATTAAGAAGTATGGACTTCAATTCTCACAATTTCCCAGCCAGCCTGAAGTCCACACCTCTTAAAGTTGCCAAGGTTGACTTCTTTAGACTGCAGATTAAACCAATCAGGTACCTTCTATTAATTTGGGGAATAGTGATTCCAATATCTTTAGCGGATATTGTAAGACATAACAAGTAATGGATGTAGTAAGAAAGATAAAGTGAGCATAGAATAGAATTCAAATCAGCCTCTGTAGTAATGCAGTGGTAACATTCTTTCCTGCAAATTGGGGGGAAATGTCTAACTTTGCTTCTCCAAGACTTGTGATATTTTTTCTAAGAAGAAGAAAAATTGATAAAGTACTCAAAGGACCTCTACTGATGACTCAAGTTTAGTGCTAAATTCCATACATTCTAAATTGGCAGCCTTAATTTCACTTAACTGAGAGTCTCTTCTGTTTCTTTGACAATACACATCACTGAGCTTGTATTCAAAGACGTTTAGGTACCAGGAAAAAAAATATGGGACTGATCTGATAAATTGTGCCAAGTCTCTCTAGCAGGAGATTTAAAAAAAATAGACAAAGCTAATATAGCCAGTGTTGCAAAAAAAGGAAAGTTAATGATTAAAAATCCTGTGTATCTGAAAGCTACTTTGATTGGCCATGTCATGCCTGCTAATTCATTGGAGAAGGCAATGATGTTAGTGGCTCAAGAAGAAAGGGCAAGCAAACAACTTGCTGGCTTGATACCATCAAAGCTGATACATCCAACAACACAGAAGCTGTATTTGACATGGTAGCATGGAAAGCACATGCTTATAAGGTCGCGAAGGGTCAGACAGGACTAAATGGTTAAAATAACCACAATCTTCTGAAAGCATATTATGCAAATTAAGTTGGGCTTTTACTAGTGTGGATAGAAATCAAGTGATGACCTTATGTAATATATGCATGGGGAAAATCTAGGATAGGATAGTGCTGTTGTCATAACAACCTGTAATTTATTAATAATTTTAGCTAACTTTTGGCTAATGGTAATTTTTCTGAGCATATTTGACCGCTAACCTTTTGAATCACCAGCCATTTTTATTCAATTCATTGTAAGACCTACATTGGTATGTCCATTTTTGTTTCTGAAGTTTATTTTTAAATGTATTTACAGAGTAGCTATAGCTTTTTGCTTTCAAACTTGTAAAAATATTGTTTTACAAGAAGCTGCTTATTTTAAAATGTCATCAGCTCAGAGAGACCCGTGCCCAGAAAAAACTTTGAAGAAAGAAAAAGCACTAGAAAAAATATTGATCTGTGGCACTGACAATATTCTAACATGGCAATCCTGAATCGTCAACTATGTACTGCACTGCACCGAATATGAAGCTCTTTAACAATCAATCATCAATCAACCAATCAACCAATCAACCAATCAACCAATCAACCAATCAACCAATCAACCAATCAACCAATCAACCAATCANTGCTGGATTTCACCCCTGCTTTGTAGGTGCCAGAGGTCACTTCAAAAGGCAGAGTCATTTCAGCCCTCAGGTGAGTGACATGCAGCCAATGTGAAGTGATACAAGACTTTATCTCTGAGATGTCTTTTCAGGTGTAGCTTTGAATGAGATCTGGAGGGCAGCCAGAGCTGACAGACCTCCTTGTGCCTGATGTTTTCCATCTGTGGTAGCATAACAGCAGTTCTTCCATTGAATCATGCTAAAAAATTCCTGACTTTCTGGTAAGACCTCCCTTCCATCATCTTTCCCTTTAAAAGAAATGAAGTATAAAAAGTTTCTACAATATGGTTTTGGTGACAACTCTTGGGTGGAGGTAGTAAAAGTGTCAGTAGCATCCAGAAAACTGATCTATTCATTTCCTCAAGAACTTTCAGAAACTGTTTGGTAGCTTCTGTCCTAGGCTACTAAGATTTGATGGGATAAACACACTTCACTGGAAAAGAGGAAGCACATCACTGAAAAAGAGAATTAAAGAGAGTGTAGACAGATATACAGAGGCACAAGTATGTGCTATGCCAATTTATAGATATAAATACAAGTTTGGAAATAATAAAAATAGAAATACTTTACACCTTCAAATGGTACTATTGTTGTCAGTTCCTAAAAATCTGGTCCCTTCAGTCTTTCTGATTTGGCAGCCTTAAAAATCAGATAAATTACTATATTGTTGTTATTATTTCCTAAGTCGTACCTTTGTTGAAAGAACCTACCATTGTCCTCTCTGCAACCCTTGAGAAGAATTGAGGTCAACCAGAGGCAATCAGCCCTCATTCTGACCAAATAAGGGAGCCCCATATAAGAGTGCTGCCCCTCCAACCCCTTCTCTTGCCTTGTCACTATTTTGATTTTGTGGTAGAAAAGATTATGAGGGGAAAAAACCACATCCTGAAGTTTGGGGCAAGATCATCTGGTCTCTAGAGAAACTGTTCTGACCTAGGCTTCCCAAGAGCCTGAAACAAACTCTTTGTCCTGACAAAAATTCCTTTTATTAATGTGCTATGAATTCTACTCATTCACATCCAGTAAAATCTTTTGAGGGAGGATTTACAGTCACAGACCTTATCTGGCTCAGAGAGCTGACAGGCCAATATCTACAAAACTTGGTAAAGAGTCTTGGAGTCACAAACCAATTAAGTGAACTAATTGTCTACTGCAAACTCCACTCCCCTTTTGATTGATTTGATTTTGATTTGATTTATTATATTAGTATGCCGCCCTTTTCCCCCGAAGGGGACTCAGGGCGGCTCACA